GCGACACAAGTTGTACTAGGGTCTGTTAATAGTATGAATGGAAGGTCAAATCTTAGGAATGCTAGTACTGGACCTTCACAGAGGACTTTTTTCAGAGTATCGTAAAAAATTTTGACAGTCAGTGGACCACAGAAATTACGTCCCTTCTTCTCAAGCTGGAAGAGAGGGGTTTCAAGTGTAGCAAAATCTGGTATGAACTTTCTATAGTAACCTAACGTTCTCAGAAAAAAACATTCAGCTGGAAAACACGGCTCGGTGATGACCAGGACTTCACTACTGAAACCTTGTCGAGGTCTGTGGACATTCCTTACGCCGACTAGTTATGGCCAACAAAGGGTACCTCTAGTGGCAGGATACAGCTTTTTACCCTCTCTGAAAGCGTCCTGGATATTTTCTGTTGAATTCATTGAGTTACAATCTCGGAATTTCGTGAGTGATTAGGAACGATAACTTTATATCGGTACTATCATTAAAGCACATTTCGGAAAGTTTTGTTAACACATTATTAGTTTACAGTTCGTGAACCATGTCTGTAATCTGCTTGGATACTTTCTTTTGAATTAATTGAGTTACACCTTCGGAATTTAATCAGTAATTAAGAATGATAAATCCGTATATGTAGCACAAGTGAAGCATATTTTAACCTTTCCATACGATTTTAGGAAACTACATTTAATGCTGATTAAATTAAATGCTGATTCTCGATAAAATGGCCCGGCATAACTCGTTCATTATTTGATTACTTTGTAGCCCCAAAAACCTGGCTTATGACTCTGGAGGTACTGAATTGATGCATTTGATATACAAGGCACCCTTCATGGGGGAAGGTTAGCATAAAATTGCTTCACGACCGTAGACTGCACCCGGTTTAAAGATGTGGGTAATTGCACAAAAAATTCCTATTTGTTTGTATTCAGAAGCATAGACATGTGGATAATATGCTTCTGCTTTATTTAATTGTAATGTGGTTTCTCCTTAGGTAACATGTATCCATTCCTGGAATTTCCTCTCTTACCTGCGCGCAAATAATGAAATTTAAGTGTGAGAAGATAAGATGTGTTACAGATTTCTTTTTCCAGATTGAGTTCAGGTGCGCAGACCAGTAAACTAGTTGATGTCATGTACTTCTCCTGAATCTTTAATTTTATTGCCCAGGTTTTTTTACAAAGCCTCTTTTACATCTCTGTGTGCCAGCTAATGATTAAAATCGCAGTGAATAGGTATGCCATATTTCAGCAGTTTTTTTTTAATATTCCATCTTTAGTTTCTGGCATTTATTATTTTAAAATTTGTAAATGGCATTACTTTTTCATCCTTGATAATAGGCACTACACATTTCCTTAACCAAAATCTGAATCATTAAGTTAACTTAATTTAAATTAGTTTGAAACTTCATTCCACACAAGAACACTTTCCTGGACTATAATGTATTTATTTATTTTTCGTCTTCGGGGATTTGAAATGGGGATTTCACTATATTGTAATGATTAAAATACACTAATCTTTCAAATGTAAAAGAACGTGATGAAAATCTGATCTTATGAAACACTTACAATGGAAACACCTGTTGCTGGTAGCTTATATTTTTAGTGTTTAAATTTCATGGAAAATGTCTTTCTTTGAAAGCGGAGGTACAGAAGTTTTCAAAGCTGCCTAAAATATGCTGTCTGCATGTAGTGAAAAGCTAATTGACAATCTTACCTTAACTCTTGACATGCGTCACTCATACATGTCAGTTGTGTTTACCTACCATTGTAGAGGTGTCTTTAAAAAGATTGTTTGGTGTGGCCGTTGTTCTTTGTTGATCTTTGTGGCCAAAAAGCTGCTGAAGGAACTGAACTTCAATTTTTAGGCACACAAGGCACCCTCCAAGGTGGAAGACTAAGGCATTCTTGGACAACAATTTTTGGACTCCTTTTTTCCTTTTTTTTTTTCTCCGCTCACGTTGCGTGTATTCTGTGTTCCGACACGTGCGTCGTTTTAGAAACAGAGTTCACCTTACTTTTGGTTGTTATTTGATAACAATAAAACTGTCCATCCTTTTCCTTAAACAAAGTTGCGTTTTCATCCCAATAAATCCATCATTACCCTTTAAATGTGCGTAGAAGTTTCAATCTATAACAAATTGTAGATGACAAATTTTCTTTTTAAAATGAAATTCTTTACGAATGCCGCCAAAAAAGGTAGGGATTAAGTTAATTTATTCCTCCCGGCCCTCCAGCGCGGTACTTTTAGAATGAGGAAATTTTTGTTCTTTGAGCACTTCGTGGAGGGTTTTTTTTGTGGAACGAGGAATACTCTTGTTGATTGCGCCCTTCGCGCGGAGCTAGTAGAGCGAGGAATGCACTGCGCGCGGTGTTTTTAGAACGACGAATGCACTTGCTGTTACATTCATGGTAGAGTGTGGAACTTTTAACCAACTCCTTTGATGAGCAGAAAATAACTGACTTTCAGAGTTTGGCCCGTTGCTGTGGGACTGTCACTGGATCTGTTTCCCATAGTGACAGTTCTCTTTGCTTTAACTTTCTCATTAACAATAAATAAATATACAAAAGTATTCCCTTTGCCCTAAAGTGGACACAATTATTACAACTATGTTGTCCAAGAAAAAGGGTTTACTATTTCACTTTCTTTTTTCGCCTTTTTTTCTTGGTCTGTTTTTTTCGTTTTTGTTTTTTTTAACCGTTTACATAAATATCTGAATTGCTGTAAGGAATGGTCAGGATGAAGGTCACAGTAATATTGTCTAATAACTTAATCATGTCTCTATACATGGGGAAAATATAACATATCAAAAGTTCTCAATGATAATAAACAAAAAATGAAGAAACTTTTATTTCTGTCAAGTGGGGGGGGGGGGGGGGG